AAAGGGGGAGGGGGGAGAAGGGGTACTTCAAAGTAGCAGCACTGCCCCCTCTGAAATCAGCTGGGGAGTCCCCTGCTGACCCCAGGCTACATGAGGGCGCTGTGGCTTTGAAATGCACAAAAGCCCCCACTGGGAATTCTTACACATTTCAAAGCAAGCCACACCTGCATGCAGCCCAGAGTCAGGAGGACTTCCCGCTGACCCTGGGCTGCACGCAGAGTTCTGCATTCCTCCTTTGAAATGTACAAGAGCCCCAGTATCAACTAGTTGAGCAGTCAATTAACTGCAATTTAACATCCTTACCCTCTACTCCAAGTTCCAGATCAGGAGCCCTTCCTTCAGCAGCTGGGACCTGCCTTCCTGCTTTCTCCCAAGTCTCTTCTGGCTTCACCAGCCCCCTGACTCCAGCTTACTTCCCTACAACCTTTTTCTGTTGCCAGCTGCTGGGATTTACACAAGCCTCTCCTGTTTCTGTCCAACTGAGTCTGTGCCCAATCAATTCCCTGTTCCTTGGCCACTGCTCTAGAAATAGCCTGTGGAATTGACTCACCTGGAATCCCTTTTGGTCTTGTGTGGGAGTAGACACCCTATCAGTCCCTAAATGTATAGCTCAGTTGGAAGTTCGTTACTTGAATACAGACACAGAGTGGTTGCTCTTGAAAATTCAATGTTTTCTAAGATACAGGAGCAAATTCTATTTTTTTCCCTCACACGCTGATAGCTGTTAATGTTGACTAATTAATTGCAACCACTGAGCCCCTAAAATGTAATTTTATACTATATAGGTAGTGTTGTCCTTTGACTAACTCTAAGCAGTTCCCTCTTAAAACTCTTGGGTTTTTTAAATTTACACAAAAACCATGTGAATACACACTAATTTTCAGCTGGAAAACCCACTTTGCGTTGCCCATCTCACAGCTTCTTAAAAATAGCGCATACCAGGAACATTAAACTCCTTCAAAATCAACTCATGACAGTGATTCCTGGTAGGGCAGCTTATTTTGAATCTTATTCACAGATAAGATAAAATCCTAGAGAATTTTAATGGTTTCATAGTGTTCACTTTTTTATTACTAGTTCATAATCCCAAGGCAAAGACTTGGAGATATCCCCAAAAAGGGAGGGAAAGGGCCTAGGGGAAGAAAGACCTATGCGGAGAAAAAACTAATATGGGTCAATCATCAAAATAAATGGGATTATTTTTTGCTCACTCCTTACATCCATTTAAGAACATGGCTCCCTAGAAGGAGCATCTGCTTTCCTCTTACCAGAAAATGAGAGAGCTAAGCAGCTGAATGTTGTCTTCTAGCCATATAAACTTAAAGCGAAGAGTGGGTTAAACTAAGGTCCTGTAGACCAACACCGTGAGTTTGGAAACTAACAGTACATACCTGGGGTTGGCAAATGCCTGTTAAATGGTCTCATTACCAATGGACTGGTTCTTCCACAGGTTCAGTGTTCTGCTAACAGGTCTGGCAGGCTTGTTCACTTCTAACTAGATCCTTTCCGGAGGAAACAGAGCCACGGAACAGGGATAGGACGACCCAATGGTGCCCCAAATTTTCGTATGCTCTATGCAACTCCACACACTGTATGGCTAAGGACTGCTCTGGTGGGTTAAAACAAAAAGGAAGTGAAGAGCTCTAGTAAAGGCGTCAACATAGTTTAATTCAACTGTCTTTTTCAAGCCTGCTTCTAAAGTTTGCAATAAAATCATGAAACAGGTCAACTTAACATACTTTTATTGAATTAGAAAAAGTAAATTTGCCTTTAAAAAGTGTCTGTTTCGCTGCTAATCCCCCTCCCTACCCCGAAATTGATAAACACAGTTTCTTCTGTTGTTCAGGAGTAGCAAATGGTAAACAATGAATCAGAATATTTTGACTAAATATAAATTTACTGTAGGTTATAAAACATTGTAAATCAATAAGGACAGATTTGGTTTTGTATCTTAATTCTATAAATAGACTACTTTAAAATAGTCACACTCTTCAAAATAACAGTACATTTGCAGGTCCGGAGCAGATTAAGACACATCATTTGGTTATATCCTTTCACTCTATAAAGTGAGCGTACTACTTACAAAATGTTTGAAGCCTTGGACAATAGTATTGTTTCGCCAGTGAGTAGGTACAGGACAGATGGCAGCAATGCAAGCGGCTCCCATGCTGGCCTGCTCCCTGTGCTTAAGTGAGCAGCTCCAGTGGAGAAATGAGTCCCTTCTCTGCCCGACTTGCCAACAAAAATGCTAATGGCAGTGATAGCTGCTAACTGGAGCTAATCCACAGATTATTTCACACAGACCACTGCAGTGCCACCAGATGGTGATGACTTTTGGTAATTACTGACTTGGGCCAGAGTTAAACTATGACAATATCTGAATCCTTGCCAAGCTCATCAGATAGGGTGAGCAGATGCAACAGGGTTACGGAGTGTTTTGTTCACGTCGGCTAACTCCCTCCTTTTAGAAAGAAATGTTTTCATTAAAATGTTCTACATAACGAGAGGCACTGGTGATGCTCTTCAAGTTCCTGGAAAACATTCCCCCAGCAAGTGTTAGTCCTAAAGGAAGGCGGCCCCAGTGATAGGAATGCAGTGCTGAAAGAGTTCAAGCTTGCTATGGCAGCAGGCTAAAAATACAAATATTCAGGGCAAAAAGACACTCAGATGCCCCAGCAGTGGAGAGCTCCTGTGTGCAAGTGATTGTTACAAGCAAGGTTGATTCCTCTGAATTTCAAAACCTCCCCTTCCAGGCCTAAGTCACATTGGCTTTGAAAGATGTAGAAGCAAGTCAGCCAGCAAATGAACAATCTTAGCTGGCATCAAGGGAGAGTGCTCTACAGCAACCCTTTGCAGCTACATTCCCACCTCCCCCAACCAACCCTAGCGAAGACAAGTCCGTATGGTTCGTGCTGCCTCTGGCTGACAACAGACCAATCGGGTAGCCAGCGGGCTGCGGATTCAAGATTTCTATACTCCGTCTACACTTAGCTTGGATGTCACTGAGCCCAATGATGAGATCAGAAACGTGGGTTCAAGCAGAGCCTGCACCGTGACCAGTCACTTCACGCCAACCCAAAAGACAGCACCTATATTTCCACTGAAGACATGAGACTGTTTGGTGGGGGTAATCAATTGGAGGCCTCAGGAACTTCTACCGTCTAATCGCTGGTTGGAATTGTTCCTGTGCCCATGTCAGAAGAAGTAAGTTCTGGTGTTTATAACGTGTAAAAGTCAGACCATGATTGAAACTAGAAAACACGTAGTAAAAAAGCATGAATTAAAGTGTAGAAAAGTAATGCAGGCTTTGTACAGCAGAATGTCAGTTACCAACAGACCAGACAGCCATATGCTTCATTTGGAACCAAAAGGATCTAATCAGGCAACAGCAGACAAAAAAACCCAAATACGATACTGTGATCAACTACTAAAAAAATAAAGGGAAGGCAGCATTTGTCTTCTGCATAACAAAGGTTCTAAGCTGTTCAGCTGTAAAGTTTTGAAATAGCCAGAATGTTTTGTTCCCAGATACAAGCAACCTCCATTTCCGAACTGATGGTAACTCTGAGGCTCTGCTGTACTCTGGTGTCGTTAGAACTGTTCTTTTTAGATATGTAGGAATTAATTTTCATCCCAGCTACCTTCACAGCAATTTGAAATGATTCCATGGCTACTCAACTTGCCTGAATAAGTACCTAGCCTTAAGATAACACTGCTACCAGTATCATTAATCCTAGCATTTCATTACTGACATCAAAATTTTAAACATTAGGTTATTCCATAGTTAATTTGTATGGAAATATCAAATAGCTCTCTGGGCAATGCTGACAAATGCACAATATAATAAAGGCAGATATTATGCCACAGTATTTTAAAACATTACACATCCACTTCATGAAACTAGATGGGAGATTTTTTTTAAACACACTAAATCCTTTGCCATATACTTGCACCTTGTTGATGTATGCTACAATTGGCCTTCATTTACAAGTTACACATCCATGTATTTTTATGACCACTGATTAAAAACATCATGAAATTGAGAAAAATAGTCTGCAAGGTCCTGAACTGCATGAGAAATGCTGAATATCCCTAGTCCCGTTGGACTTCAGTGGCAGTTAAGGGTGCTCCAAATACTTCAGAGTGAGGCCATGAGATGGCAGCCTCCAGTCCAGCAAAACATTTTTTCAGTAGTATGAATGTGTACATTCAGTACTTGCACCTTTCGACTTTACCCAGCATTCGGAGGAGAGCCCCTTCTGAGATCTAAGGAGATGTTCCGGTTTTCCCTTTGAGTTCGCTGTAGAAGGGAAATGTGTGAGGTGCACGCATTTTCCTATTTTAAGGCACGTGGAATCAATTTTTTTTTTAATTAACAGCTGATGGATTAAAGCAGAAATTAGAAAGTGGCCTTTCCCCTTGACTGTGGCCCCAGGTTTTGAACATGGACGATTTCTCAGTCCGTTTTGTTCAACCAAAAAGCTCACTTAAAAGTTCTCTCCTTTTCCAGGGAGAAAACGTCCAAGCCTTTTAGCATGCTGTTAGTCCTAGGATCGAACTTGCAGAGCTACATTCTACCTTCTCCGTGGCCACGTATGCTGCCTGCAGCATGGTGTCTTCACCCTCCTTACACGTGGGGTAATTTAAATGCTGTTCAGCTCCATTTGCCATAGTGAAATTTCACAGAGGCTGGCCCATGGCTTGCCCCCAATCAGGAGTAACACATCAGGACCGTTGGTAGCTGCCAAGCTTGTAGGTTGCACGAGCTGGGCGTCAGCTCCTTTCCTGTTTGCTATATCTTCAGGGAGACCTTGTGCTTTGGAAGAGATGAGATGGGAGAGATGCTCATTCTTAGACCATATGCTCTGTTCTGCCTCTGAAGGGGTCTCGATTGAGCAACAGCCCGGCAGCTCCAGGGGCTGGCTGAAGGTTTTCATTTCTATTTCGTTGCCATTGCTGAATGCTTGCTTGGAGACAGCCAGCAACTTTTGAGGCTCTTTCCCCCTTGGACCCCAGTGAATGCTGGGGGATGCACTAGAGAAACCTGGCATCTGTTGGAAACCAACACCAACTCCCAGGATGCAGTGATACCGTTTAGAAGAAAGATTTACCTCTGTTGTACTAGCCAGTTTTTCCCACCTCTGGGAACTGAAGTGGTACTTCCACAAGCTGCTGTTAGGCCTGGAGCTTGAAATCCCTCCACCGAAAGTCAGCATGGAGTCTTGAAAGACCACAGAAGAGTGTCCCACCACTTTTGGAGGTCCCTGGCTATCAACACAAGGACGGGCAACACTTAGTGTGGGTACGAAGAATGACAAACTAATACTCACCATTTTGGCTGGAAAAGAAAATGGTCATAACGCTCCGGTTGGCCCCAGGGCATGAAACCTGTCCAGCTGAGAACTGCCTGGGCACCTTGCTCAAAGGCCAAAGTTACTCTGCCATAAAATAGAGCAGACTGCGGCCACTTTCATCTTTGAGATGGCAGGGACAGAGACCAGAGGTCTCAGGGCACTAGGCTCCCTCTCAATATGGGCAGATTTTACTGAGATTAAAATGGCAACATCCCACTTGGCCACAAGAGTCCCTGCAGCCTATCTCTTCCTATACAAATAAGGGCAGCCAGAAACCACGTCTCTTCCATCCTTGCTCTAGTTCCCTCTGACTCAAATTCAAATCCAAGGACGTGTAAAACCCGATCCAATGCAATTAGCTGAAATCCCTCAATCACTGCAATTGCAAAAATCTTCCCGTGTGTTCTACAGGTGAACAGTTGTCCCAGGTATTCTACTCCTTAGTCCGCTGTCTGATTTTCAAAGATTCCAATCTTTCCAGAGCTTCAAACTCCGCTTGCCTGATTACAGTGCCATAGGGAGGGACTCACTCTTCTCTCTCTAATATATTTAGTTCGGCAACGGATGAGGTTTACCTTGTTCTGATAGCAGACCACTTGCGGCTCATAAAGTCCCACTTCCATAGATCCCTCTGTTCACTCAGCCCCATCAGTCCTCCAAACAGGTACATGCCTGTGCCATGAACCACAGCTGAGTGACCATGCCGGGGCCCTGGACCAGTGGCACAAGACAGGGGAGGTACCTGTGACCATTCCCCCAAATCTGAAAGCAAAAAGTAATGTTAGAGCTACCAAGCATGTTTGATTACAGAAAGCCACCTTGTTTAAAGAACAAAGGAAGATGTAGCTCTGGGAATAGTTTTATTTCCTCTCCATTTCCTAGTTAATCTGGCATGAGATGCCATGGCAAGATGATACATCTAAAGGATGATGGTAAAAACAAACAAACAAACAAACAAACCAAAAACCTATTTTGACATGTCAGTGGAAACGAAAGTTCCATATGGGCAACCCTGGAGTCATTTATTTATAAAGCAAGTACTGCATCCTTCCTAACACTGCTCCTATGCATCAACCCTGAGCATGGGAAACACAGGGAGGAGGTAGTCTAGCAGACACCGTGCACTCTTGCTTACTAGTACCTCTGCTGGCAGTGATTTGGAGGAACAAAGGATAACGCAAATACGGTCGTATGGTACTGAGTACAGTTGCGTGGTAGCTGACCACTGATGGGTGAAATCAGGGAAGATCTCAGTGCAGCTGAGGCTTATGGTTTTTAGTAATCCTGTTTGAAAACTTGAAAAATGAGAGCGAGCAAAAGCCATCAACTGATCTCTGCACAATGGACTCTGAAATGCTGCTGGAGACCTCAGCCCAAGGGACGAGTGCAGAACAGGCAGACTGCTCCAGAACTATGTTGCCCAACTAGTTTTAATTCCAGCCTAACATGGGTTTTCTCTGCAATCAGAATGTGAAGGTGGGGTGGTTAAAATGAAAGATGAAATTCTGCCCATAGCAAAATCAGAGGGTTTGGACAGGGTTCTGTACCACTGCTCTTGAAAAGTTGCTTCTTAAGAGGCCTGTCCACCTCCTACTGCAATCATGATGGAAGCTGTCCATTAAGTTCACTAGGCATTGGATCAAACCTAAGAGAAGCTTGAACTTACCAAAACGTAAAGCCCAAAACTCTTGTGAAATCCCTTTGAGGTCGAAGTATCCCCCATAGATGTACATGCTGGAACTGTAAACTACTGCGCTATGGCCCTTTCTGTTAGCTGGAGCAATGATCTGAAAACATTTAAGTAATGAAATGAAAAATCACTTACAAACTTTGACAGACATCCTTGATTTATATAGGTTTATCTCCGCACCACTTTTTACCTACTTTTCAGAAGAGAACATAGTGATATCTGGGTGAAAATCTTAGTAATTTCAATTTGGGTGATTTCATATTCCAGATTTTATGAAAGAAACTTTTGCACTGAAACATTAAAGTTCAGATCTTCACTGATCTCAAATTTTTAAAAAAAAGCCAACCTCTACACTGATGTGTTCATTCAAAGAGAAAAGTGGGTATGTTGTTTGTACTTACTGATTCACTTTTATTCAATCAAGTCTCTAATTTACAGTGAAGAAATTAAAATCTTGCCAGATTTATGTGTTCTGTTTTTCACAAACTTGGAGGTTTATGAATATGGTCAATATTTTAAAGCCTAGTTTTAAGAGAATAATAAGCTTGTTACAAATTGGCAACCTACACTTAATATTTTCCCTCTTGATTGAAGTATTTTTAAAAGAACAGTAGAGGTAATGACATTCAGCATTTATATCCTAGGGTCAAACTGTTTTGCAAAAGTAGGTGGAACCCCCAGTATTGAAACTGCAGGGAAATACAGCAGGATACTTTATAGCAACATGTCCCTTGCTAGGAATCTAGACTGGAACTGTTTTGGGGAACACATTTTAAAGCAATCTGTTTAATCAACATGCGTATGATTCACGCATTCTCACTTGTTCCTTACCTCAATCTTCCCTGTTGCGTGCCTGCACTCAGTCCATCTTGCTGAATCTAAGGGATTGTTTTAAAACAAAGTGTAGTTTATATTTAAGACCACAAGAGGACACTGTTCCTTTTCAAATTGCAATTCTGTGTAAGTGTCATCTTGGTATGTTATTTACCGCATAGCAAGGATGAAACACATAACACTAAAGCTACATCTAAACTGCACCCCTCTGTCAGCAGAGGGATGTAAATTAGACGCATCGAAAGTGCAAATGAAGCCGGGATTTCAATATCCTGTGCTTCATTTGCATAATGGCGGCTGCTGCTTTTTTTCCGAAATGGGGCTTTTCGAGAAAAATCTGGCAGTTTGTTTCAAAAGATCCTGTACTCATTTTTTGAGGAGTACAGGATCTTTTGAAACAAACTGCCAGATTTTTCTCGAAAAGCCCCATTTCGGAAAAAAAGCAGCAGCCGCCATTATGCAAATGAAGCACAGGATATTGAAATCCCGGCTTCATTTGCACTTTCGATGCGTCTAATTTACATCCCTCTGCTGACTGAGGGGTGCAGTTTAGACATAGCCTAACATAGCAGTACAGGGAGCTAACAGAAGGAATAGTTTAATGGCCAGGGCTCGACAAACCACTGCATCTACTCGCCTGTGGCGAGTAGATTTCAGCTGGTCGCTCCATGCGCCCCATTCACCAGCGCTTGGCGCATGCGCAGTGCGGGGCTGGTGAGTAGTTCTTGCCAGGGTTTGTCAAGCTCTGCTAATGGCCAATATCTAACTTGTCTTTTCAGACTATGAGCTAAGAAAATATTATATTACGGTCAACCTACACCAAGGTGTGTGTGTCTGTCTCGCCATGGACTATTCTATGTTACATAGGGATGTTAAAATGTGTGTATTTGTCTAAATGTATAACTGCTGAATTTTTCAGTGGCTACATGTTTACACATGGGGGAAGAGGGAGAATCAGGAACCGGTGCTCACAGGGAGCCAGCTTTTAAGCCAGCTTCCTGCAAGCATCAGCTCTTGCCTGCCCAGCCCACCCTATCCCCCACACTGCTGCCTTATGGGACCGAGAGGGTTAACCTGTTAGCTACTAGCTATGCTATCCCTCATGGGAAAAATATATAATATGCTTATCTAATGTTATACTGAAATATTAATAGTAAATAATTTTATATGCTATTAAAATACTATAATTTCCTAGTGACAAATGTATAAAAATTATTAGATATATATAAATTTACTACTGCCTTTATTGGAATTAAATCAGTGATACAACAAATAGAAATGTTGGTTTTTCAAGTCAAGAAAAAATATTAAATGTTTTCATTTTTTCCCTTTTTTTCATTTCAAGTCGTTTTCTACTTTATTTAATCTTTGCTAGTACCAATCTATCTCTGTATTTCTCTCACAGTGCAAAATGTTACTATTTTCCTCCCATAATAGACAAAATTATGACTTTGCCATGGGACATAATTTATTTAAAAAAAAAAAACCTAAGCTCTAAGCCTGTTATTTCATTGTGAAAGAACTCTGAAGATCAGCTCATAAAGCTCTCAAAATAAGGAATCTACTGAAAATGCTGAAAACCTTGAATACAGAAATGTTGCTACAAAAAGTTCCCCGATGGAAAGAAAAATGGATTGTTTGGCAGTTTAATGGCCTAATTTTTAGGACAAAATTCTATCTGGTTTTGCATGTAAAACACTCACTGAAGCCAAAGGGAGATGTGGATGTGCAAATACATGAGCAAACACAACTAGGCTCTTGCAATTTATTGTAATCTGTGGAATTACTGCGTAATGGAGCAAGACTCTTTTGGTGCCTTTTGGAACAAGATAACCAGACTTTTCCATACCAATGTCATACATCCAGAGAGGGCTCTTCAGCTGCGTAAAAGCCGAATCCACCATCCCACCAAAAACATAGAGGGTGCCCTGCAAGCACAATGATGAACAAACATTTATCACCTACCACCAGCTGGTATAGTACAAAAAAAATCTAAAAATAATTTTGTAGAGATAAATAATCTCCATCACCAAATAAAACACACCAAAACGCACAGCCAATCTTAACCAGTCAACAGACGTGCCACTAAGCTGTGTGTTTGAGTGATGGTACTCTAATTCTTATTTATTTAGTACCTTTTTCACAATATTTTACAAACCACACAAAGATCACCACTGAAATACAACCATGTCTTGGGAGAAAAGTGACAACTGTTTCACAAGACACAGCAATGCCTCTCAACAGTTTGTACAAAAGAAAAACATCTGCTAGGGGCAGGCTAATTTAAACTCACCTGATAAGCCACCATTGAATGTTCTTCCAGTTCTTCTGGGCCTTCTGAACAATCCAGTTTTTCCCATTCATTGCTTACTAGGAAACAAAAGGAGAGCTAAAAATGGATACACAAACCACATGGAAGTCAGAGGAGGGTGAAATCGAGATGCTTTGAAGGAGGCATCTTCTAAAATGAGCCCAAGATCGATATTCGGGTCAAGCACACTTTCCCCCTTGTCTGGCACAGGAAGATGAAAATGTAAACAACGTTAACGGGATTGTTTTTTCTCCATTTTTTTTCTATTAGCATGGAAGGTTGAATTATTTCCTCCCACAAAATAGGTTTGTACTTTTATATTTGGCAAACAATTTTCTCAGTTTGAAAAGTGTTACAAATTGTTGCAGGTTTGTATGTATTATACCCCAAGTCCTTGGTATCGCACAAGCATCAATGTCAGCATAGCCCTGGGGTTCATGCTAGATAACTGATGCTAACGGGGCCAGAATGGGAGCATAAAACACTAGGATGTTAAATGAACTTCACACAAAAATTGTTTTAATTTCTTTGTAATGGACGTTGCAGCATAAAACACTAGGATGTTAAATGAACTTCACACAAAAAAGTGTTTTAATTTCTTTGTAATGGACATTGCACATTTTGATAATCAAGCCTTACAAAATCCAAGCATTTGTTTCTGTACTAAATTGTTGCAGTAGTTATGTTTATTTTTAATATGCAATTTGAATTAAGAGTAATTGTTTTAATTTCTTTGTAATGGACGTTGCAGATTTTGATAATCAAGCCTTACAAAATCCAAGCATTTGTTTCTGTACTAAATTGTTGCTACTAAATTGTTGCTTTTTAATATGCAATTTGAATTAAGAGTATTTTAAGGGAGAGCATTAATTGGAAGTTAAAATAATTGAGGGAAAACAAATCCTATGCTTCAGCATCTAATAACAAGAACATATGTGCATATCGCTGCATAATTAGCTAACTATTATGGGCTTTTCACCTGTGTCACAACCATTCAGTGCTGCCACTTGTGAGAGGCACAATAACATCTTTGATGGATCGATAAGGTAAATGTGGTACGTGAACTTGATAGTCCATCTATTCACTTTACAATCTTTAAAATTGGCTCCCAAACTGTAATGGTTCACGTGCCACAGTGACCTTGAGAATTAGCTGTGGAGTGGCTCTGATTTCACAATGATCCATGTGAGTCTGCATCTGGATGTATATCGGAAGGACAAGCTTACCCATACTGTACCGCCAGAAGTCACTTAGGGTGCTATTGGACCGGCCCCCATAAAGATAGACAAACCCTCTACAGACGCTGCAGGCATGTTTGAACCGATTACATGGAGAAGGCTTGTTCTGGGGTACCGGTTTCCATAGATATTCTGCAGTTTTCCTTCTCATCCCTACACCTGGGTTCTTGCCAAATCCATGGTCTTCTATAATAGGAGTTGTACTCCGGAGATTCACCCAAAACGTCAGGGACTCCGTCTCATCTTGGGACAGATCTGTGAATGAGAGTGAGGGAGGATTTAAAAATCAAGTGTCAGAACACTGATGAAGGCCTATGACACCAAATGTTCCTGTTTCCTTCCTGCCCCACCAAACCTAACAACATTTAAATGGTCAATGAACTTCACAGCTACACCACTTCTTTGATCAATTGTGTAACATGGTGATCATAATAGACTTGGACTTGAGTAAAACATCTTGATACATTGACATGCAAAATCTTCCTTTCCTAACCCATCTGAATCTAAGATGTCTGTGACAGACAAGTGGTTGAAGAACTGCAAATAAAGACAAGTGACAGACAGTAGGCTCAGCATGGGAAAGGGGTGCAAAAATAAAGCCACAGGGACTGAGGCTAGGTCTCTTACCTCCTCTTGGAATCAGTCTGATACATAGTGGGGAAGATGGAAGTGGGGTACTACACTAAGTATAACCCAGACTAAATTTAGACTGCCATCCTCAGAGGCATCTGAAATCAAGATAGTGCTGGAGAAAATAATATTTTAGTCTCATTTGCCACAAGACAAAACAAAAAAAGCAGCCAGGTAGCACTTTAAAAGACTAACAAGGTGGTTTATTAGGTGATGAGCTTTTGTGGGGCAGACCCACTGCCCCACAAAAGCTCACATCTTGTTAGTCTTTAGTGCTACCTGATGGCTTTTTTTGTTTGTTTGACCAAGATCAGCCTAACAGACTCTGTTACTTTGCCACAAGATGTCACTGTATTCTCTGCAAAGAGAGCAACAGCAAGAGCATTCATCTACTTTTGTTCGTTTAACTCTTTGTGTTGGGTCACGGGTAATGCTTAGTGCAGGAGTGGGCAAATACCAGTCGATGGGTCTGAGGCTACCTGATGGCTTTTTTTGTTTGTTTGACCAAGATCAGCCTAACAGACTCTGTTACTTTGCCACAAGATGTCACTGTATTCTCTGCAAAGAGAGCAACAGCAAGAGCATTCATCTACTTTTGTTCGTTTAACTCTTTGTGTTGGGTCACGGGTAATGCTTAGTGCAGGAGTGGGCAAATACCAGTCGATGGGTCTGAGGCGGTCCGGCCGCAGATCCCAGCGATCACAGCTCCCATTGGCCAGCGATCCCCCTCCCCAGCCAATGGGAGCGGTGGCACATGTCCCAATCCATGCCACTTCCCACTACTCCCATTGGCTGGAAACGGCAATCTGCAACCAACAGGAGCTGCGATCGCTGAAGCCTGCTGCCATGCAGGTAGAGGCAGCAGTCCGCCGGGGGCTCACCCTGGTGAACCCCCACCACGTTACTGCCCACCCCGGGCTTAAAGGCCGCTTATTTAATGGTAGCACAGCTAACCGTCGAAAAGACACACCAGTCTGAAACTGACTCTGCCTTGTTCAACCGGACACTCTGCTGTTGGCCCAAGTTCAGAATAAAAAATTAAAAAGGCTCAAGGGGGAAATCTACGATGACAGATCACAAAGGGCAGGCAAAGCACATTTGAAAATAAGTCAGTGAAAGTCGGGTCGTCTATGCACAGCTAGTGCTCTGGAAAACCATCTGCCCTGCTCCAGGACTAGGGAGGTTAGCGAGCAGTCGACTAGCGTAGCATACACCTATCGGGTAGTTGAGCCGTATGAGAGAGGCAACAAGGGGGGGAGGGAGACAGGAGCCAGTGTTGGGGGGAGTCGGCTTAAAAGCCAGTCTCCCCGCCCCGTCTCCACAGTGCTGCCTACCCCTCGCCGCCTTTATCAGAGGGATGGAGAGGCTGCTGCGAAGCGGCCATGGGCAGAGGCTGCTCTGGCAGCGGTTCTTGTCCGCAGGGGTCCCAGTGGGGAGCTAGGCGCTCCCATGGACAGAGGCTGTTGCTGGAGCAGCCTCTGTTCTCGGAAGCCAGGTCTGGCCATGGCCGGGGCTACTCTAGCAGCAGCCCCTGCCCACGGCCAGGGGTGGCTGGGCTCAGTCCCGGCTCGCGCTGGTCTGGGACGCGGCGCCTCTGCATGTTCAATGTAGTAAGAGCCCAGTGGCTCTTACTCCACTTACAACGTAGCGCTGCAACGCAGGTGGCTCCCGCAGCCAGTACGTGCCGGGGACTGTTCTGTCCTGGCTCAAGCCAGCTCCAGGAGCTGCCCCTGCTGCGGCTCTGCAGAGCAGCCCTTATCGACCAATCGTGCAGTTGTTACAAATTATACGGTTAGCCAGATAACTGCAGGTTAACATCCTTATCCCTTTCTATTCCCAGGGCATCTGCTTTGAATATTATAATTACAAAGCAAAAATCAGGGTATGTTATCTCTCTTCAGTGACTGAGGATCTGGAAATATCCTAAAGCGACTTAGAGCAATGGCACAAGATAAATATGCCAAGCCAAAAAACCCCCACAAAAACCCTCCACTCATATGCAAAAAAGTTTGCCTTTACATTTACATTAAATCTAATTGGGAAGTAAAGGACTATGGAAGAAGAAACATCTTAATAAGAGGGCTCAATAAGATGCTATCCCTCCCACTCTGTTTTGTTATGGTTCCAAGATTGAACACTTGAGAAAAGGCAGCCAAAACTGCCTGTCTTCTTCAGTGCTAGAAGACTAGACTGGTTGGGTGCATCTAGACTGCAAGATTTTGTGCAAAAGCAAAACTGCTTTTGCACAAAAACTTGCCAGCTGTCTACACTGGCCGCTTGAATTTGCGCAAGAACACTGACGTTCTAATGTAAGAATTCAGTGCTTCTTGCGCAAATACTTTGACGCTCTCGCTCAGGGATGAGCCCTCTTGCACAAGAATACTTGCGCAAGAGGGCCAGTGTAGACAGCATCCGTGCCAATCTAGATGCTTTTCTGTTAAAAGTATTTCTGCAAAATCATGCCAGTCTAGATGCAGCCGTTCAGTTTAAGGATGAAGCAAAGTAACAGAGAACAGGTATTGAAAACTTTTATCCTCCTGATGTGATATGAGCAAGCGTGCTCCAAGAACACCACCACCACCTATACACCCTCACACACACAGAAAAGAGAGACAGAGAGAGAGGAAGGACTTTCACTGGTGTCAGCGGAAGAAGAAAAGGTCTGTACTCTCCAAGGCAAATATTAAGAGTGAGCAGAATTCAAGGACCCCTTAATACAGATCCCCCTCCTTGTTAAGTTGTTGTAGGGAGAAGGTTGCGAGTTATATGAATAGAATCCATGGGAAAAGCAGATAGAGCCCTGGTTAATCTCATTTATGGGGATAACTTTTGGACTTTTAACTACTGCTGTGTTACCAATATTTTTGGATTTATCACTTCACACTGAGGAACCTGAATGTGTGTAGTGATGCCATAAATACCTTTGGGTTGAATTATAAAGGACAGTAGCTACCCCTTCCCTTCCTGTCCACTCGTGTTGTACAATTACTATGTGCTGTGAAACAGGAGCTGCAGTGGAGTGCCAAGAAATGCTATTTCTGAGTGCAGTGCATGACGCGCTCTGGCATCCCAGGGGATAAGAGGCGCAATATAAATCTGAATGAGGTTTGCATCTAAAGCAATTCCACCCCCTGAGCCTGTAACCAGAGAGCTCCTTTGCCTCTGTTGCTGCTCCCCGCTTTACTGAGCAGTGGCAGAGCGGAAACGATCCACAGCAGCTATTCGTAACAGTGGCCAGTTAGTGAAACCGTCAGCGTCGTGCTTGGCAGCCTGCGGAAGCAAAAGCAGGCCCTGGCGTTGCATTTCTACGCCGAGGGCAGCAGTTCCCAACCTTTCCCAGAGGGGGACCTGGTTTGACAATTCGGGAAGACTGGGTGACCCAGGGCAGCTCAAAAACAGGGGGAGAGCAGAGCCACCTGCAGAGACACGTGGCAACCCTTTTGAAATGTAATGGCGACCCATATGCTCTAGCGTAATGACTCAATTCTCTAGCTCAGGGCTTCTCACCATACAATTTTTGAGGGCCCGGGTGTGTGGCCAACTTGCTGGTGGCTGCTCTTAGCTAGTGACGGTATTTGTATCTTACTATCATTCCTCACAGGCCTCCCAGCTAGCCACCGGTTCTGCTGTGAAAGGTGATATTAACTAACAGCCCTTCACAGGAGTCTTGCTCAGCCCCAACAAGCCTGGGGCAAATTAAGCCCTGCAGAAGGAGGCAGTGATGACCAGGGGTGATGGGGGAGGGGTCAGAGGAGGCACCTGCCACCACATGGCTGAGGATGAAGGCCAGAGCCCTGGTGCCTGAGCCAAAAGTCCTGCAGCTGGATTCTGGTCCCTGTGGCTAGGAGCTGGAGCTTGGTGCCAGGGACAGAGAAGGCAGCGAGGCCTGGCGAGATAATCGGGGGGGGGGGGGGGGGAGAAGCCCAGGCTCGAAGCCGGAACCAGCTCTCACAGGCAGAAGTTCGAGGCTGGAGGAGGCACTGGGAAACAGGGCAATGGGCAGGGGTGAGAAGCCTGAAGCCACTGCCATGCAACGGGAGCCTGCCAGCCCTCACCCCCGAACTGAACCTTGACCCCACTGCTCCCAGAAAGCAGGGAACTCACTGGCCACTAGGGAGGAGACTGGTTAACCGGCGGGGGCTGGAGCAACAGGCTGCGGCCACAAGAAAATCCCCTGATGGCTGCATTTAAGAAACGCTGCTTTAGCTAATCATAGAATCATAGAATCATAGGACTGGAAGGGACCTCGAGAGGTCATCGAGTCCAGCCCCCCGCCCTCAAGGCAGGACCAAGCTCCGTCTACACCATCCCTGACAGATGTCTATCTAACCTGTTCTTAAATATCTCCAGAGAGGGAGATTCCACCACCTCCCTTGGCAATTTATTCCAATATTTGACCACCCTAATTTTTTCCTAATGTCCAATCTAAACCTCCCCTGCTGCACTTTAAGCCCATTACTCCTTGTCCTGTCCTCAGTAACCAAGAGGAACAAATTTTCTCCTTCTTCCTTGTGACACCCTTTTAGATATTTGAAAACTGCTATCATGTCCCCCCTTAATCTTCTTTTTTCCAAACTAAACAAGCCCAGTTCATGAAGCCTGGCTTCATAGGTCATGTTCTCTAG